GCTGAGGGAGCGCCGCACTGTCGAAGGAGAATACTGTGGCCTCGGAGTTGAAATTGTCATTGTGCTTTCTGTGAGTTTGTTTATTGGAAGCAGGTACCAGCAAAGGTTACAAAGTGTTGGGAAGTTTTACAGAGTATAAGGACGGGTCACTTTGTATCAGCGTGTCATAATTTGTATCGATATAACCTTGAGGGTTCATTTTCTCACATCATTGTCAGCAGGACCTTCACAAGGTAAATTCCATAAATATTTTGATGTTTGTTTGATTGAATGGGTATTTTTCTTAGATTCTCTTCATCATTGCTGTTCCCTACAGACTAGTCTTGTTTCTATAGTGTTTGCTTTTATAGAGAGGACACCTGTCGAACGGTCTCTCTGTTTTGCCTGTTTCAGACCTCCAACTATTTCTCTAGATATATTCAAACAAAGCATCATCTGAAATGAAACATTTCCTGCAACCGAATAATGAGAGAACATGGTTTACGGTTGGAATGTAAAACTGAAATGGAAACACATTGACTTGATGTGACATCAAAGCCTTGCATTATTTTCACAGAAATATCTTCACTTACCTTACCAGCAGTCTGCAAATCAGTTCCTTTCCCGATCTCTATGCCTGACACTGCAACAGATTTAATGGAATTAAACAGAGATAAACAGTAATATCAAGTTAAAATGACACAATAGATAGACCCCCATGGGCATAACCAACCAGGGCATGGTGGGGGTGGGGGGATGTCTCAGACAGATTTACAGCAAAAATATACCCAGGGTTACAAAGTGTTGGGAAGTTTTACAGATTATAAGGACAAAAAAAGAAAGACTCTTTCTACCATTGAAAAGCTGATAGAATGGAAATAACCCAATCGAAAAGATTCTTTCCATTCAGGCCAAGCTTCAAAACATTAAAAAATGTTTGTTATTGATTATTTTAAACAAATAATGGCCATGTTTTCAAATCTCATTACTCAATTTTGCAAATAAAAATGACAAATTTAAAATAATCTTTTCACAATTGTCTTTTTTAGCTTCCAATCCTGGACCTAAGCTAAGCATGTACCACACAAGTAAGAAAGCTACTGTACTTCCAATAACTCCATGTGTAACACATCAAAGGTGATAGTACAGCTGCCTCCTCATGGAGAAGCACAAGGTGCTCACTTCAAACCAGCAGAGACAAGGCATGCAGTGAATAACAGAGGAGGGACAGAGAGAGCTGAACACCACCAGCATTTTGCATCAGCAATCAAAAAGAAATCAGGCTTGTTCATGTTGTATGTCCTGGTGAGCAGCTGACAAGTGGACTGGTCATCTCTAGCACTCACCTAAATCTGCTAATGCTTTTTCAAGGACAGTTACACGCTGGATCAAAGCAGGCTGGGTGTCGGTGACATGTCGAATGTGTTGAAGAGCTAATACAACATCTGGATGAAGTTGGGCTTCATCCTCAGTGACCAAAAATGAAGCTGAGTCCATCAGTTCAATTTCCAGTTTTCTCAAAGATTTTTCACTTGAGTGTATGTCATTGGCTGAGGCAGAAGGTTTATCTTTTGAGGGGGCAGGTTTACTGCCAGCATCTTCAGGAATCATTGGTTTATATGAGGTTTCAGGTTTAACGTCTGGAGCATGGGGAGACTTGTCAGGGTCTTCGCTCGCTAGAAACAATCTAATCTGTTTTAAAAAATAAAAATAACTGTTTCAGAAATGAGTCCTTTTTCACCAGCACAAGGAACTTAAAAAGATGTTGAAACAATTTTTTACATCAGCTGAAGGATCATCAGGGACATCCACAAGGGTGTTCTGAAGCATCTTCCAACTGACAAACTTCTGCAATTGTTCTGGAGTTTTATTCTGAAGATAAACACAGAACAATTATTTATTCAAAAGTGAGTCATGGTCAATATTCATCCCTGCTGCCATCTTATCTTCACTAAGCAGTGACTACATAACAGCAACATCACTAATTCAGAGACCCAGGTAATATCCTGGCATGAGATAGTAGGAACTGCAGATGCTGGAGAATCCGAGACAACAAGGTGCAGGGCTGGATGAACACAGCAGGCCAAGCAGCATCATAGGAGCAGAATATCCTGGCATTCCCGGTTTGATGGTACAATTTTAATTCAACTTTAAAAAATCTGGAATGAAGAATCTAACGATGACCATGAAACTACTACCAATCATCGGAAAAACCCACCTGGGGTTCATCGACGTCCTTTAGGATAGGAAATCCTTACCAGGCGATGACCTAGTGGCATTATCGCTAGACTATTAATCCAGAAACTGAGTTAATGTTCTGGGTACCCTGGTTGGAATCCCACCACATCGGATGGTGGAATTTGAATTCAATTAAAACAAAAATCTGGAGTTAAGAATCTACTGATAACCATGAAACCATTGCCAATGATCAAAAAGCCTACCTGGTTCAGTAATGGCCTTCAGGGAAGGGAATCTGCCATCCTCACCTGGACTGGCCTACATGTGACTCCAGACCCACTGCGATGTGCTTATGGCCTAACAAGACTGTGAAATGACCTTGCAAGTCACTCAGTTGAAGGGCAGCTAGAGATGAACAATAAGTGCTGACTTGCACTTCAAACGAATAAACAGAAATAAAAGGTTAGCAGATAATTGTGCCAAGTCTCAGATACACAGAAAATAGAGAATTAATGATATGGAGGCATGAAGAAGACGTAGGAGATCAGGTGCTTTTTTGAATGCTGTTTTTGGGTTAATGGGGCAGGGTTTGGGGGAGGGGGAGAGCGGCCTCAATATTCAGCACAACCTCAAATTAACTAACTAAATATCACAGGGATTCAGAACATGAACATAGCAACATGGTTTTATATAAGTTAAAATGCGCATGGGTTTAAAACCAAAAGTCATTAATTTACTGTGATTTAAACAGTATTATCACAAACATTTATTGCTGTAATGAATTAGTTCCCTATAAAACTGTTCACAAGACAGACTAGAATCTTCCAATGTAATGCCTGCATGATGCTGAGAGAGTAACTGGGTTACAGAATCTCTCCATGATCCAGTTCCAAGTTCACAATCAAGGATCTGCCTTTATTGATGGGTTTTAATGATCGATCTGTTTTTTGATATTTATAATATAAATAGTTTAGAAAATCCTGCTGTAATGCTATAATCCAACAGCGATGCCACTGCATTGTTGCCATGGTGAAGAGCTGCAGATTCCAGTTTGATCAGGCTACATTGGTGGTTATAAAATGCAGACACTCAAATTGAACATGTCAAGAATTGTGTCCACAGCTAGCATTTTTACTGCATTCTGGATAAAAATATGAGTTATACCAAGTATTCAAAATTAAATATGCTCCACAGTTCACAGGTCTCTGTGTCCCTATAGATTTGGCCTCTTTAGCTTCCCCAGTTTTAACACCTTCCCTCCCCATTGGCAGTATCTCCTGCTGCCCAGGCCCTGAGCCCTGGAATTTCCACCTTAAACCCTGAGACCTCTCCCTCTCAGCCTCACTCCCTGCGCCCCCCGGCTCGAGCTTCAGCCCCTCCTCAGCCTCATCACCTCTTTTAAGATGCTGCTAAAACTTACCTCTGTGGCAAATCCTCTAGTCTCCCCTGTGAAGAGAGTCGATGGGCCAAAGGACCTGTTCTGTGCTCTATGACTCACTGACCTGACCTGACCAAATATGTTCAACTGGGCTCAGCATGAATTTTTGATTTTCGCTCCTGCGAACCACTTTTGAACATTGTACTGTGATTGGCCCTTTATAAACTGAATTCGATTCGGGTTGTGGTTCGGAATGCGGAAGATCCAGAATCCAGGAGCAGATACAACACCCAGATGTTCCGATAGCTAGTTCTTTTTCCAATATAGATCGGTATGCACAGGTTCCTGTGGAATGTCCATCACAGCAGACTGCAGGAATTATCTCGGAAATTCCTCCACAACTGGGAGCCTCCGAAAAACTCCAATTAAATCCGAGAATTCAGAGAATTCTAATGGAATGAACAGCTCCTCAGGAAAAGTGACATAATTAAATACACAACCTAATCCTGAGTAACTATTCATCCGAGCCCATACCTACCTCAAGCACCCTCAAACACACCTCCCCCAGCCCCTCACCTCCCCCAGCCCCTCACCTCCCCCAGTCCCTCAAATCCCCCAGCCCCTCACATCCCCCAGCCCCTCACATCACCCAGCCCTGACCTCCCCCAG